GACTCATCGCGTTCGTTACCAATTTCGAAAGCTTTAATGCGACTCTGAACAATGTTCTTGGGTGGCGAGTCGACAGACTGAGTGAAGTCTTTGCCTCCCTCTCCCCCCCTCTTGCCACCTCCGGGGCGCTGGTGCGAGAACTTCGTCAGCTGTGGTTCGTTTTGTGTCAGACTCCATTCTTCCTTGGTTTTGCCAGGATCTCTGGCCTGCGAGGGACCGCAGTTCAGTTCATGAACTGGATAAATCAGCTCAGAACTGTCCCTTAGATTTATATTTGAGTTCTGGAACTTGAGTAACTCCGTGAACCCAGGCATTGAGCGGCCAGCCTGCAGAGTGTCGTACCCAGAGTCGGAGTGCTTTCCATTCGAACACCTGTCGTCCTGCAGACTAGTACTGCTCGTATTTCTCGGAGAAGTTTCCTGCGAAAGACGCCTGTCCACGTGGCACCAAGACTCAACTTCAAGGGGCGGTCCCTGACGGGCATTCTTAACCTCATTCGCGCCAACAGACACTTCAGTGGGCCTAATTTCTGGACTCCTCCTCGGCTGTTCCGTCGAGTAAGCCCCTTTATGATTTTTTGATCTTAGTGGGGCAGAACGTCCCTGAAGACACCCTTCCCTATACGCTGCATCGGGGGGTATCTCCTCTTGGCTGTCTCTGCGGTTCCTAGACTCCGGTGCGGCCATTTTGTTATTACATGACTCAAAATGGCGATGGCGGTGGTGAGATTTTGTACTGACTGGGGCGGTTTCATTCTCTGTGACGGGTGGGGGTCGTATTTCTGTGCACGCGTGCGGAGGAACGGAGGAGTGGTGGTGGTGGCGACGACTCAGTTTTCTCTCGGCACTACCATGTCGTGACCTTCCTGCCTGCGAGGGGCGTCGAACTCGCTTTCTCGCCTTGCGAACGTCACCTGGCACTGAATCAATCCCAGAAGAGAATAAAATGTTTTTACTCTCCTCTTATGAACAAGAAGAGTATAATTCTTTGAGATTTTGACTTTTACTCTAATTAATAGCAAATAAAGTACGAAAGAAAAAAAAACTAACCTTAAAATATACGATTTGTGCTGGAATTATTATTTAAAATAATGGCACTCACAAAAAAAAAATGTTCAAAACTGAAATTTGAATCTCAAATAACGAAGAATTTTTAATCCTAGGTTAGTAAGAAGTTCTTGAATCATGCAGTTATTCAGAGTCTGGTTCAGAGCAGAATTATCAGCAAATGTTTAAATTTTATCGTAAGGAAAAAAAAATCCATTTTCCATGCCACTGTTAAATAGCGAGAGTTTGGAGGGTAAAATTGAGTGTTAGTACAAAACGAACAAACCCAAGCAGGCAGGAAGTTGCCACAGGTCGAAGTCTGGATTTTACGTCAGTCTGGATATTCTTACAGAATTCCCACAATTTTACCTTGAATACTGCGGGGGTTAAAAGCAGGCATTTCTTGTTTGTTTTTCTACCAAACAATGCCACATGCAGATGAAGTGAACTCGGAAAACAATTAATCAACACAGACTGAAAAGCCACACACCTAGGAAGAGTGTAAGTTCGTACCATACTTTTTAATTCACATATTCTACGTAAAAACACATTCTGCTGCCCTCGCGTCGGCACCCACGCTGAAACAACTGATAAACTATTTTACATCGACTTAATTTCACTTAAATCTGGTTTACAAGTAACAAAGTTCACACACAAGATCTTCGGAGCTTGTCGGACTGCCACGGCTGTGAAATCCTTCCACGCCATTTCAAGTGTCAAATTGCCTTAGGAACAGAAAAGGTCCAGACCGTTAAGAAACAACTTTTCAACCTGAAATCCTAACGTCTCTTAACCTCAACGCTTTTACTCCGATGCTCCAACACCATCTTCTTCAGATGGTAAGATGGTAAAGTTGCGTCATATTGTGATATAATAAATATATATTAAATCTTGTCCGTCTAATCACAATAAATTCTTATTAAATATTAAAATATTACAATAATTAACATTTAAAATATATCAAATGATGTTCTTTATCGAAATATTCGATTTACATTAGACCATAATTTTCTCACGACATGTTTCAGTTCCTAAAAGAACAACATCGAGTATGTTATTGGAATGGAATAGAGTCTTGAAAAGAACATCATTTGATATCTGATAAAAATCTGATAAAAATGTACGCTAAAATAATATATAGAAATTGTATTTATGTTATTATTGATTTGAAGCTTTATATAATTATATACACCTGAAGATGGTTCTTTTAGGAGCTGAAACATGTCGTGAAACATGAAAAATGATGGTCTAATGTAAATCGAATATTTCGATAAAGAACATCATTTGATATATTTTAAATGTTAATTATTGTAATATTTTAATATTTAATAAGAATTTATTGTGATTAGACGGACAAGATTTAAAAAATATATAACCATCTTCTTTGTTCTACCTGTAAATCCCGCTTCCTATTCCTGTACCAAACCGAAAAGAAAAACCAAGGGTGGCGAGTCCTTCGCAGGCGCAAGGCGTCGTCCCTTGTGAGGTACGAGACGCATTGCTGGAAATGGTAAACAGTGCCTCAAGAACATGAAACAGGGGTGTGCTTACGCTAACGGGGTTTCGCCTCGGCTGTTCGAAACGAGGGGGGTTTCTATCCACGCGCAGAGCACTGCAGAATGTGAATGCTTCCAGCCAGCAATTAAACATATTTTATTTATTAAGTATAAAATGTCTGAAAAGAAAAAAAATATGAATATCTATTTGGCACATTTATCATCCAGTCAAAGTTTGTCCCATTCGTTCCTGAAGATCGCTTAAACCGCGATGTGAATTTGTTCGCTGAAAATGCAAAAGAATGAACCGGAAATCTAGCATAAAAGCTTCACATCTGTCGTCAAATACGTCAAATGAACGGAACGCTGAAATACCGACGACCACCCACAGAGTTAAATGACGTCAGACGCAGAAGACCACAGACAACATTTCCTCTCTCAACTTGACACAGCTTCCAGACAAACGGAGAGGTTTGCTAATCTGCCGATCCTTCAGGAACTTTCTTATTAAAGTCTATTCAAAAGAAAGTCATTTTGCCAACAAGTGTCACTTCAAAACTGATAAACTGCACAACGGAACTCGTTCAAGGAGAATTTTTACAAAATTAATTGTAACTACGCTACCAAAACAGATTTGGACACGTAAGAGTTCACGAAAGATTTCGAACTTCAACGCTAGATAAGATGAGAGAATGAACTGGAAGAGACTAGTTAGGAAGCGACCACGACATAATTCAAGGGGCCATCCAGGAATTTGCTACTTGAGCCAAGAAAACTCGCTGGAAGCATCAGTCAGCTGCCTGGTTCATGCCGGTTACCAAGTTACGAAAGAAGTCAATGTCAGGAGCGGAGTTCTTCGTCTCCTCATCCTCAGCATGAGTTTGTAGACTGCGCGACAATTCCATTTGGAATACGTGCAGTTTAAATATGAATAAAAATACTTACAACTAAGAATGGAAGAATGAAGAATCATTAACGTACATGACGTCTGACATTTGTAAAGTTTGAAACCTCATTTACAGTGCAAATTAAGGTGATGTTAGACCAAAACGTTCTTTTCAGAAAGAAAGAATCTTTAGATTTTTGCACCGACTGAAAAATGGAAACATCTTCAAGAATAAGCCGAGAACAGTAAGAGATAATATTAGAAGAAATCTGGCTGAACAACCGCAAATTCATCCAATCTTTTGCATTTGGCCGAGTATCAGACTCATCCCATAACGAAAGAATTTAACGCACATCTTCTTCGACCTAGTATGTGACAGTACGCAAACGCACGTCGGTCTGAAAACAGTCGCCAGATCGGCCGTGGAGTAAGCGAGTGCAGGTATGATTTCAGGTTCTCACAGCGGTGAGTATGACGACAGTCGTGTTCGAGGTTGTTGGACTACACGGCGCTACAACGCAGATGACAGCCATCCTCAGACGCGTACAAGTTTGAAACGCCACAACGCGTAAAGACCTTGAAAATCTGGGAGCCATTCGGATGCGGCAAATTATGCGAGAAACGGAACAGCGACTGATGAAGTTATTAAGGAACGATGTCGGACAAGCGTGAGACAAATTTTGCATAAAGAAACTGGAACGTATTTTGCTCCAAATATTACAATTACTGACAAACTGTCCTGATACATACGGCCGGTCCGATTCAAATGCCACGACCGACGGTTGACAAACTGCAGTGCTCTGATGGGGTTTGACTGTTCTCGGAAAATCACATTCCAAAACGTGAACAGACAAGCTTTCGACGCTGCCAAACACGCACCATTACTCGATCTTAACGTCCTTTCTTTACTCATCGATCACGGCGAATGAAACTGAAGTTCGCGTGAGAGACGACCCAAGTCTGATCAGAGTTTTTTACATGGCTGCTGCAATTAGCAGCTATGGGTTTTGCAACGGCAACAGATACTTGCCGACGGTGAGCAAAGGGTATCTTTCAGTAACTCTTCAGAATTAATCTTAAAGAAAAAAATTTCTTTTTAAGCAACGAGCCACGGCGGCAAAGTTAGTATGACGATCGGATGCGGACTGGTCATCGGGACTTTCCTGCCAGTACAGGCAGGAACTTCTCCCCACGTCGTGTACAGATGGGCCGTGAAGCCGACCGCAGCCTCCTGTCTGAAGCGCACTGTGATTAAAGTGGCCAGATCACAAAGCCGACTGCGCACATCCCGTTAACGCCGGGCTCCAAAATAAGTAAACCTTTACCTCCGTGTTCCTACACATCAACATTCCAGGTAGCGCGAGAACAGACAGCGGTGAAAATCCTTTTGTCGTGTATCAACTTGATTTACCTGTCCTTTTCCTGGATTTAAAAAAAAAAAAAAAAAGAAACACTCCCAACCTCGTAACTGTTACGGCCTTCGGAACCAGAAAGAAGTGTCACCAACTTGTCCATTTCCTCAAAGTCTTAAGTGTTTTAGTGGTCCATGCAATCTTAAAATTCCAAGCTTACCTTCATCATCAGATGAGTAGCTGTTGTAGCGGCTGACGGACGTAGAAGACCGGCGGCCATCTTGACTCCTGCTCCTGAGTGCAGATCGACCTGGCACCGTGCCGGTATCGTCCAGCTGTGATCTTCGCTTGGAGCCGACACGGCCATCTTGACCGCTCGTGAGGTCCCTGCTCCGAGCCTCTCGACTCGCGAGTTCTTGAAGTACTTGCTGTTTGTAATACTTAGACAATTCATTTTGTGCCGTCCCCCGAGCTGATGAACCCGAAGGTTTCCGAGTCAACGGAGACTGCAGCATCCGCTGTTTCCATTCCAGGAGACGCTTCATGGATTCCTCCCGCTAGAAATGAAGAATAAGAAGTTTTTACATCTTCTTCAGTCTCTGGTTGGTGCCAGTAAGGGGGCAAGAAATGCGAGATTTGTCTGCGTTCTGAGGTGTCGAGCAAATATTCTCGAAGCGCTGATACGGGAACTGAAAAACCCTGTGACAGACATTGAACAAAATCAATAAATCACTTACCGTTCTCTCAAAGACCGACTGTTCATTTACACATTTCCCTTCACATTGCTGTTTAAAATTTAAAATTCTGTTTCATATATTTTAAGTTTCTTGCGGCCAGTTTTGGAAATACAGAAATTGACTTTCTTTCCTGAAAGACGCTTGTTTACATTCTTAGCTCTGGCTTCACATTCCGGAACTACAAAAATAAAAAAAGTCAAAATAACTACCCCAGAATGTGAACTTACAGCCCCCTTTAAGGTTTTCAAAATTCCTTTACAATTACTTATGACTTCTATAAGTGAGTTTTTTTTTTAAAAAAAGGCAGAAACATGATTACATAAAAATCATCTCAAGAAGATTGACTCCTCTAACAGATCCTTCAAAAAATGTGGAAAAATTTAAGATATCTAGAAATAACATAAATACATAAAAACTGCTTTTATAAATAAATTAATTCATAATAGCGCGTTCTCCGTCCGCTACCGGTAGGTGCAAAGATCAAAATGCAGAGAACCGCAAATCCTCCTGTCGTACTGCGCAGACGTGGCACTTCATTTCTCACACGAAGGGGATTTGAGAACAGGGTGGCTGAGGAAAATATTTGGCCCTCAGAGGATGAAGTGACATGAGACAAGGAGTTTCACAATTTGTAACCGAAGAATGCCCCTCCAAAACCCACCCCTTGGCATCCTACTCATGGAGGGAGGCAACGTCTTTGGATGGCAAAAGGGGCTCTGGTCCGCCAAAGCCAACGTGCCAAGGCACCGTGGTGGTGACAGCAGTGTCGCTAACAATCCATTTGGGGCACCAGGCAGCAAAGGCCTTCCAAAACTTAATGTGCAGCGAGAACAACCCAAATTTTGGAAACCATCAGCGGTTCAACCGGTTCCGAAGATCTTCAACTCGAGTGGCAGGCATGTCTGTTCAATGTAGGGTGAGGAATCCCATCCCCTATTTGCAAGAGAAAATATTTCAGGTAATGTATCAAAGCGCACAATACGAACACCCCACAAATTTTTTTGTCCAAATACAATATTTGCCTAAAATGTGAAACAGCCTTTCGTGCAGGGAACGCCAATTCTTAAAACCGGAAATCTTACTCCAATAAAAAAGGAGATTACGCTGTAGTTCGATGATACGATGAAACTGTCCGGAGGAATCTGATTCTGCAAAGGAGCTGATTCTAACAACCAGAGAACGCATTAAGACAATCAACATGGTAATTAATATTCTTCTTTGTAAGTTACCTGTTGTAATTTTTTCTCTCCCTCACAAGCATCTAAGGTACATTTCCGCTGCTGCTCTTCGCACTGGGAATCGATCTCGTCATCCTGGTATCGCTGTCGAGGTAACCTTGCGCTGGCCGATCTCGTAAACTGGCCGTCTGAACAAGGGTCTCTGTACTCGCTCCATCTCCTCTGCTGATAGTGTTGTCTCGAGGGTGACTGCGCTGTTGCCGCGTCGCTCGGCTTTAATTCCGTCCTCTTCGGATGCCGCAGAACTACACCGGCGCTCTCACTGTTTACACTCCCCCCCGAGCTAACGCCCCTCACTTGAGCACCACCTTTCATCCCTCCATCCACATTTATCAAGCCCGACGGAGTACTTATCCGTATCGAAGGAGTCGTCGCCCTCGAAGAGGAAGACTGATTTCTTACGTGCATCACTGGAGAAATCTGATGGACGTAGGAGGCCGACTGACGCATTTTTTGAGCATAATGTTCCTCAGACCAGTAATAGTTATCGCTGACAGAAGGGTCGTGAGCAGGCACCATCTCTAGGCTTGACTTCGGCCGTGGTAATTGAGCTACCCTACGAGCATGCTCTTCCTGACAGATTCTGCCGTCACCACAACCGTGTTGCAAATAGTCTCTACTTCTAGCGGCTTCTTGTCCGTGATATTGTGATTGGCATGCGTAATGCTGATTACTCCTCTTGGCATCATAGTCCAGGAAGTCGGCGCTGTGAGGCCGAGGTGGGTACTGGCTTGGCCGCGCGTCTCTGCGTCTCACTGTCCGAACACTTTGGTCCTGGTGTTGAGGAGGAAGAGGCGGCTGTTGCTGCGTGGTTGCGGGGTACGTGTCTGGCGCGCGCGCGTCCGGATGCTGCGAAGACACGGCTGAAGCGTACCTGTGAGCTACGTAGTTCTGCTGTTGATGGCCAGAATGTCCGTACTGACCTCCGCCCTGTGGCGGATGGTAATTGTCTCCACGCGCTCGTTCCAAATTTTCCTGCTTGTGATGCACTGATATTACAGATCCTGCTCCCTTAATATACGCTACCTGACTTGACGACTTCCTGTACACTTCTCCGTAACTACCTTCGCTACCACTATGCCTCATGGCGTCTGTGGCGTTGTATACGTCTTCATAATCCCCACCTTTCAAACCAACTGCTATAGTTGGCCCAGTGGGTCCAGGCGTTGTTGAATTTGAGCGACCGTAAGTGTCGGGAGTCCTTCTTTCCACGTTGGTCATCAGTTGAGCGTGACTTCCTGAGCTCTGCTGTGGCAACCTCTGCAGTTGCTCCTGCTGAGGGGACCTCTGCGAGGAATGTACCGGAGTCTGTCCATCCACTTGATGGTAATGGTAGCGAACATCCATAAAACCATATTCATTTCTCATTGGTTGCTGAGGCTGAGCAATCCTAGCTAGAAATCCCTTGTTCCCGTCCGGTGTCTTCTTCCCAGCCGATTCTTCGGCCCATCTGTCAGAAGACGGTTCGGGTGATGAGGCACCGTAGTCCTCGTGCTCGGCGAGGCGCCTCGGTTTCGGAGGTGCATTAGCGTACAGCGGTTGATGAAAACCGGCACCATTCTTCTGAACGCCCCAACCATTTGAGAATACTGAGTCGTGGCTAGTGTTCAGTTGGTGTGCAGCATCCTCCTTCTTTGCCGCCTGCTCATCACCGAGTTTACTGGCCGAGGAAGCAGGAACTGTGGAAGGCGTACCTGTAGTGACGGACTGCGGCTGTTGGTAACCATGGAAACCCGAGTCGCTGTCGTCAGCACTTTGATTTAGCAAGGATGATATGGAAGACACACTAGGATGACCGGACCGATGATCATTCCAACTGTGAACGAGGATAAACAAAAGGGGATTAAAGTCTAATACAGACACTGTCGTGTTACGCAGTAAAACAATATAAAAGGGGTCTTGTATTAATTAATTAATTATAGTACAAAATCAACATGAGCATTCAACGTAAGCATTCCCTCTCCTCCTCATGTCCTACGCAGAGAAATTAAAATTTTCTGGTCATTAACATCAACGCTTCATTCATTAACCTTTCTTCTTACATGAACTAACATTCTGACTTGGTCTTCACCATCATTTACAAATCACATCTTTTGTTAACATATCGACGGATAACCTGAGGGTCTACTTTTTTATTACACTGTCAAAGCTCTGTCAAATATACATAAAAAAAAACTTTCTCATAAGTTTTATACATTAAAAAATTGATGTGCCCATATTTTTAATTTGAATTTTGATATTTTCACAGTTTCCTGCTTCGTCACTTCAGTATCTGGGTTTGGATTTGGTTAAAATCTGTCACTTGTTCCTGGGTGCTCGCAATATTGCGCGATGCACCATATTGAGACGTCAGAAACCAAGTTATCAACCCGTTCTCTACGACGTAAAAGGCATATTGAGAATCATCCCCGCCATGTTGCTGTTATTATGTCTGAGGCCGGCCGTCACTGTACCTACTGCCCTCCTGCAGGATGGACGCGAGGCTGAGGGCGTTCATCCACTGCACCATCAGCTCTCGAGTATCAGCCGCAAAGTGGTAAGTGCGCATGTTCGTGTGCTCTGCCTTGAAGGCGAACTTGCGGTACACACGGTCCTCGGGCGAGCAGGGCGAGATCTTGTACGACGGCAGCAAGATCGACCCCAGAAGTTTCTCCTCTTCTGGACCTGGGGAAACCAACGCACTAGGTTATGGTTTCGAGTGAACAGCTGATGCGAGAGGCGTGAAAATATAGCCCATGATCTCTGCAGGTTAGGTTAGGTTATTTTGGGTTAGGTTGGGTTATTTTAGGTTAGGTTAGATTATTTTAGGTTAGGTTAGGTTATGTTAGGTGAGGTTAGGTTAGGTGAGGTTAGGTTAGGTGAGGTTAGGTTAGGTGAGGTTAGGTTAGGTGAGGTTAGGTTAGGTGAGGTTAGGTTAGGTGAGGTTAGGTTAGGTGAGGTTAGGTTAGGTGAGGTTAGGTTAGGTGAGGTTAGGTTAGGTGAGGTTAGGTTTTGGGTTATTTTAGGTTAGGTTAGGTTATTTTAGGTTAGGTTATTTTAGGTTGGGTTAGCTTAGGTTAAAAATGCGGTCCAGCATTTATGTGTGGTTTAGTGCCTAAGCCATTTTAAGTGGGTAACTTGTCATTTGCCAAATGCTAAACTCAGTAAATATCAAAAAGGAGTTTATTAAAATGCAAATAAGCTTTTTAATAATGTCTCCCACTATAACAATTCTGAATCATGCTATAAAGAAGCTACTACTAAACAGAAAAATTTACCTCAACCAAAAATTCTCAGATATTATAAATACATGAAAGGAAAAGTGGGTATACTTTCTTGCGTAATTATTTTTGTGGTAACACTATAAATTACTGTCATAACTATGTAATTCATAACTGCATTGGAAACAAGTATTTTCGCTATGACATGTTCTACATCGTTGGCTTGGGCGTATGGAATGTACATATATTCTGTTCTATCCTTATTCTACGTCACTTTAGGTTGGTCCCAAAGGTACATGTACGGAAATAAACGCAATTCGTAAGAATTCCGGCACGTTCCGTTGTGGCATCAACACGTAACGTTACCCAGTCACATAATACAGGCAAATTCAGATTTGTGGCGGCTAGAACCTCAGCCAAATAACTAACGAGGTCTAACCAGCGTTTCCGACTGCAGGAACCAAGCAGACCGCGGGTCAACACATGACCCCACGCTTTGAAAGGGGATCTTCAATTAGTATAAGATTCCAGCAGTGCCTTCAGAGACCTTACTGCAGCCGATCTGGAGGATATTTCTGCCTAGGGCGACCTAAACTATGAAATTCCAACTCTTTATTCTGTTTTTACTGATTCTCACTGTAAACACGTATTTAGTTAACCAGCGTTAAATAGTTGATCTCTTTAATGGTGAATGGTTGTGTTTTCTTCGCGGTACGGACTAAATTCCTAAATATAATCTAGACGAGCTTCGGGTTTAAATGTTTAATTAATTATCAGAAATATATATTATTTCCTTAAACAGCGTTAACGAGTTGATCTTTGTAATGGTGAAGTGTAGTGTTTTCTTCGCGGTACGCCCTGAATTCTTTAATATTATTTGAACGAGTCTCTGCTCCAAATGGTTAATTAATTATCAGAATAAATTATATTATTTCCTTAAACAGCGTTAACGAGTTGATCTTTGTAATGGTGAAGTGTAGTGTTTTCTTCGCGGTACGGACTGGATTCTATATAGAAGAAGCTTCAGCTTCAAAGGAATAGACGTTTTGGGAATCTTCCAGCTACAGCCACGGTGGAACGCGAACCGATTCGGTCGATACGGGTAATATTACCTTTGTAATAGAAGAGGCAGTACTCCGACAGGACGAACCAGCGTTTCTTCCAGAGCATCAGCCCCTCGCTGCCCTGCTTGTGCAGCCAGCCCTGGAGGGCGACGCGGGCGGCTGAGGGGCGCTTTACCACGGGCGACCGGAGTTGCTGCTGGCCGCCACCAGCGCC